TATCTGGTTAGTAAGCACGGGTCACGAGACCAGGACGTTCAGGGACCTGAAAACCCTAGCTCTAAGTAGCTGCCGGATGGATGAGGTCCAAGTAGTCTGTACCCTAGTGCTGATCTTCGATTGTGTACACTAAATAACTAAGCCACGAAAAAAAAAAAAAAAAAAAAAAAAAAAAAAAAAAAAAAAAAAAACAAATCCCCGTACCGACTTCGAGAGCGAGCACATCCCACCATATTGGCTCTCGATATATTGCTGCCTCCACCTTCTCGAGTGGCTGTTGTGAAGCTCGTGGTATAGAGCCCAGGGTTAGGAGTAAACCAAGAGACGCTAAGGCCCGGTGCCCCAAAGACGTTTTCACGAAGCATCTGCCCCGTCGCTACACAGCTGCCAAATAACAACCGATCCCTCTCTCCTTCCTTTTCTTGGTTTACTATCCTTTATTACAGGCGCTGCTACCTCTTCTTCCCTCGGTTCTACACAGCTACTCGTGGTAACTTCCATTTCGCCACTAACGTTTCTTTTTTTTTTCTTCTTTTTTTTTTTTCTTTCACCTACCCTCCACTCCCGGCCCTTGGCCATCCCTCTTTGTTCCGACACAACCGTTTCTGGAGACTCTCGAATGTATCCTAGGACCATCCTAGCGCCCAACGGCAACGTGTTACCTGGACAACTTAATGGCCCAGCGGCACGAGCCATCATCATCCAGATTCTTATACCTAGGACGATTCTTATACCTATACGTGTGGACGATTACTCGAGACTTCCCTGTCGATTGACACAGGGTAGCCCCGACAGGTATACGGTAATCAAGATGATCAAGGACCAGTCATTCCTTTGGGCCTGAACTACCCATAGAGACTCACGATCGGCCACGAGGCACGATGACAGTGTCGCTTGGTGATAAGTCATAAGAAAAGTATGCACGATGATCAATAACGAAAATTAGGTCATTCCAAGACGGTAACAGCGATATGTTTATTACGCAAGACTATCTTTTACATATAACCAAGCATCTTGCTGGTAAAATTAACCGAATGGAAATAGAAAGACAATAGCGTCCCTAAGATAGTCCCTGGTAGGACAGCTGTCTACCTCCCTCCGACCCTTCCCGCCCTCCCGTAGACAGGAGGATTAACGCCGACAGAAAATACTAGGAGCTTCCTTCTTTACCGACGGAGAACTAAAAATATACCACGAGGACCTTGCTATACCTTCGAGATATGCCTAAATAGGACAGAAGGGTAGGAGGGAGCGGGGACGGAGGAGCGGGGGGGGGAAGAGGGTCTGGTGGCAAACGGCACCCGTGTTCCCGGTCTCCACAATCGCGGTAGACATCTGCTCCATTTCTTTCTCTGGTTCCCTTAGCGCGACTCGCAGGAAGGAAGGAAAGACCGCGTGTGCATCGGGAACGTCTAATTTCGAGGTGAAGGTATATACATATGTATTGTATAAAAAAAAAAAGGAGACCGAGCGGGACAAAAAGGAACGAAAAGAGAAAAAAAGGAAGAGGAAAGGACTGAGGGGACGAAACAACCACCGTAAGACATCCTGGGTCACCATAGGGAATAGGCACGAACCAACGGGGACCTTATCTACCTTTCCCACGAAACATCCCAAAGTCTCCATAATGTCCTGAGAAAATAATTTTGCATCCTTCTTCCCCCCCCCCCCCCCC